TGTAACTTCTTCTTTAAGAGGCTCCTCTGTCCTCCACTCGTTACCTTTATTAATGGCACCTGTTTGAACTTGTTATCAGTATAAAAGACACCTGTCCACAACCTCAAACAGTCACACTCCAAACTCCACTATGGCCAAGACCAAAGAGCTGTCAAAGGACACCAGAAACAAAATTGTAGACCTGCACCAGGCTGGGAAGACTGAATCTTTAATAGGTAGGCAGCTTGGTTTGAAGAAATCAACTGTGGGAGCAATTATTAGGAAATGGAAGACATACAAGACCACTGATAATCTCCCTCGATCTGGGACTCCACGCAAGATCTCACCCCGTGGGGTCAAAATGATCACAAGAACGGTGAGCAAAAATCCCAGAACCACACGGGGGGATCTAGTGAATGACCTGCAGAGAGCTGGGACCAAAGTAACAAAGCCTACCATCAGTAACACACTACGCCGCCAGGGACTCAAATCCTGCAGTGCAAGACGTGTCCCCCTGCTTAAGCCAGTACATGTCCAGGCCCGTCTGAAGTTTGCTAGAGTGCATTTGGATGATCCAGAAGAGGATTGGGAGAATGTCATATGGTCAGATGAAACCAAAATAGAACCTTTTGGTAAAAACTCAACTCGTCGTGTTTGGAGGACAAAGAATGCGGAGTTGCATCCAAAGAACACCATACCTACTGTGAAGCATGGGGGTGGAAACAGCATGCTTTGGGGCTGTTTTTCTGCAAAGGGACCAGGACGACTGATCCGTGTAAAGGAAAGAATGAATGGGGCCATGTATCGTGAGATTTTGAGTGAAAACCTCCTTCCATCAGCAAGGGCATTGAAGATGAAACGTTGCTGGGTCTTTCAGCATGACAATGATCCCAAACCCACCGCCCGGGCAACGAAGGAGTGGCTTCGTAAGAAGCATTTCAAGGTCCTGGAGTGGCCTAGCCAGTCTCCAGATCTCAACCCCATAGAAAATCTTTGGAGGGAGTTGAAAGTCTGTGTTGCCTAGCGACAGCACCAAAACATCACTGCTCTAGAGGAGATCTGCATGGAGGAATGGGCCAAAAATACCAGCAACAGTGTGTGAAAACCTTGTGAAGACTTACAGAAAACGTTTGACCTGTGTCATTGCCAACAAAGGGTATATAACAAAGTATTGAGAAACTTTTGTTATTGACCAAATACTTATTTTCCACCATAATTTGCAAATAAATTCATTACAAATCCTACAATGTGATTTTCTGGAATTTTTTTCCTCATTTTGTCTGTCATAGTTGACGTGTACCTATGATGAAAATTACAGGCCTCTCTCATCTTTTTAAGTGGGAGAACTTGCACAATTGGTGGCTGACTAAATACTTTTTTTCCCCACTGTACATAAGTATTCAGACCCTTTACTCAGTACTTTGTTGAAGCACCTTTGGCAGCGATTACAGCCTTGAGTATTCTTGGGTATGACGCTACAAGCTTGGCACACCTGTATTTGGGGGGTTTCTCTCATTCTTCTCTGCAGATCCTCTCAAGCTCTGTCAGGTAGGATGGGGAGCATCACTGCATACCTATTTTCAGGTCTCTCCTGAGATGTTAGATCAGGTTAAAGTCCGGGCTCTGGCTGGGCCACTCAAGGACATTCAGAGACTGAAAAACATCCCCACAGCATGATGGTGCCACCACCATGCTTCACCGTAGGGATGGTGCCAGGTTTCCTCCAGACGATGACGCTTGGCATTCAGGCCAAAGAGTTCAATCTTGGTTTCATCAGACCAGAGAATCTTGTTTCTCATGGTCTGAGAGACCTTTAGGTGCCTTTTGGCAAACTCCAAGCGGGCTGTCATGTGCCTTTAACTGAGGAGTGGCTTCCGTCTGGTACTCTACCATAAAGGCCTGATTGGTGGAGTGCTGCACAGTGGTCCTCCTTCTGGAAGGTTCTCCCATCTCCACAGACGAACTCTGGAGCTCTGTCAGAGTGACCATCGGGTTCTTGGTCACCTCCCTGACCAAGGCCCTTCTCTCCCGATTGCTCAGTTTGGCCGGGCGGCAAGCTCTAGGAAGAGCCTAGGTGGTTCCAAACTTCTTCCATTTAAGAATGATGGAGGCCACTGTTCTTGGGGACCTTCAATGCTGCAGAATTGTTTTAGGTACCCTTCCCCAGATCTCTGCCTCGACACAATTCCTTCGACGTCATGGCTTGGTTTTTGCTCTGACATGCACTGTCAACTGTGGGACCTTATATAGACCGGTGTGTGCCTTTCCAAATCATGTCCAATCAATTGAATTTAGCACAGGTGGACTCTAATAAAGTTGTAGAAACATCTCAAGGATGATCAATGGAAACAGGATGTACCTGAGCTCAATTTCGAGTCTCATAGCAAAGGGTCTGAATACTTATGTAAATAAGGTATGTTTTTTTATTTTTAATAAATGTGCAAACATTTCTAAACCGGTTTTCGCTTTGTCATTATGGGGTATTGTGTGTTTTTAATCCAATTTAGAATAAGGCTGTAACTTAATATGGAAAAAGTCAAGTGGTCTGAATACTTTCCGAATGCACTGTATATGGAACACCTTCCTAATATTTTGCCCTCAGAACAGCCTCAATTCGCCGGGGAATGACCTCAAGAAGGTGTCAAAAGCATTCCACTGGGATACTGGCCTTGTTGACTCCAATGCTTCCCACAGTTGTGTCAAGTTGGTTGGATGTCCTTTGGGTGGTGAACCATTCTTGATGCACACGGGAAACAGTTGAGCGTGAAAAACCCAGCAGCGTTGCAGTTCTTGACACAAACCAGTGCATCTGGCACCTAAATTACTACCATACCCTGCTCAAAGGCACTCAAATATTTGGTCTTTACCAATCACCCACTGAATTGCATAGACATATACAATCCATGGCTCAATTGTCTCAAAGCTTAAAAATCCTTCCCTTCATCTACACTGATTGAAGTGGATTTAACAACTGACATCAAAAAGGGATTATAGCCTTCACCTGGACAGTCCATGTCAGAAATTCTGGGTATCCACCTGCGATTGACAGCCAAAATTCATCCAGTAGGGTTGTGGCAAAGGCTGCGCGCAGGGTCCTGTCACTGGATAGTTCCAAGAGTGAGTCCGGTAGCTCCGATGACAGGTAACTGCCAGCGGTGGGTGGCAATCAACGGTTGTCGGGATCCAGTCGTGGTTTTTGTACGACTCCTCTTGAAAGTACCTCCTGAAATGTCCAATTAGTCCTTGGAGGTGATGAGCGATCCTTGCCTTTGTCGCATCATCCAGGTGCAGATCATTCTCCTGAAGCAAATGGAGTCCAGTGAACATCTCCACACTCCCCTCCTCCACTCGCACTGCCCAGTGCTCCAGCTTCTTCACAAACCCCTCAACTTTGTCAGCCAATGACAATGTTGGTATTTGGGCCTTGTAGTGTCATGTTAAAGTCTATTCATTCTATCAAAAATGTCTGCCAAGTAGGCTAGGTTTGCCAGCCATTTAGGATCAGTCAGGCATTCTACATAGGGCGACTGTATCCAGCAGGAATAGGCACACTTCAGCTCTCATTTCAAATAGACGCAGCAGCACTTCACCTCGCGAGACCCACCTGACCTCAGTATGCAACAGTAATGATGTGCTCAGATCCCATTTCTTTGCACAGGTCAGAAAACAGTCTCGTATTCATGGGGCGTGCCTTTATGAAGTTCTCAACGGCCTTGGAAGCAAGATCTTCAATGTATATAACACAATGAGCGAATACTACGTGTGGTGCAACGGCTTGTACCTTTGCCTTCAGACCCTTATGTTTACCCATCATAGCACCAGCCCCATCTGTGCACACTTCTCCCAACACACCTCCTTCCTGCATTTTTTCATCAAGTTTGCTGAATATATCCTGTCTCGTTCATGTCCCCTCAAGTGCACTGCAAATTCACACATCTTCATGTAGTTTACCCTCATAGCAGTATCTGATGAATACGAGAAGCTGAACTGCATGCGAGAGAGATAGAGATATATATCTATCTATCTCTCTATCTATATCGATTCATCTAGTTGTAGAGCAAATGTACCACTTTTTTTGATTCAATCAATAAGCTGACTTGTGTCTTTTGCAATATCATCTATTCGCTGGGCAACAGTGTTATCAGACAGCGGAATTTGTTTAAGCTGACTTGCTATTTTCTCACCATGCATAGCTTGACACATTGCTATTGCTGCGGGGAGAATGAGAGTCTCACCAATAGTGTGTAGCTTTTTGATTTTGCAATGAGATATGACACTTCATAAGAAGCATCTTGGGCTTTGGTAGTGGTTGTCGTCTGTGTGGTCAGTACCTGCTTTTGGCCAAGCAAATCTTGCTCTTTTGCTCATTGGTGTGTAAATGTCTCTTCAGTTTCACTGGCTTCAAACTGTCATTTGCTAGCACATCCACAAAACACATTGTGGATGTGGATCCCCATCGACCATGACACGTGAAACCATACTGAATGTAATCATCTTGATATCTCCGTCGCTTTGCTGAATTCGAGAGGGCCAGCTTATCCTTACGCTTCTTTCCCACTGGCACTAGGGTCTCTCCCGCCGGCCTCTCGCTCGGCCTAAGCTCAGTGTCATTATCAGATGGCGGTTCATCAGTTGTAGCTATAGTTGTAGATTCACCCTCATTAATGGTTGGATTGTCTTTATTTTTGCGAATCAGCCACCTGTCCATATGTAGCTAAACTGTGTCAGAGACTCTGAGAACAGGGTAGCTAGTTCGAAAATTTGCGCCAATTTGGTCAGGTGGTCGACAAATTCAAAAATATTGACTAGGCACACTACTACATCGGCTTTTAAAACTATGCCCCTAGAGGCTAAAAAAGTAAAATAACTAGTTTAATGATTTTTAAGTGAATTCATCAAATGGGGACTTAAGATTAAAATTAGCTATCTAGCCATTTCTGGTATAATACATAACATTTCCTCTGAGATTTAAGTTTCAATTGTACATGGTTCCTGTCAAATAAAATAAATACATTTCAGTATTAGCCAACATTGGTAAGATTGATCTTACCCAGGGTCAGATGTCTGATCTTGGGTGATGGTTGGACGGTGGTGTCAGCTTTACCTTTCTTGACTTTGGGTACGGTGCCGTCTGGGCAGCTGCAGGAAGTAGTGCTCTCGTTGTTGGTGACGACCACCTCCACACAGCCGACATGACCCTGCTCCTCTGGTCTTCCACAGGCCTTGCAGCCACTTCTCTCCACAGACTCTAATGAACCCTGTATGGGGGAGCACAGAAAATGACATAGAAAAGTATTATATTGCTAAAAATGGGAGGACCACAGAAAGGGGTGGCAATAGGGCTGTCCCAGACAAAAATAAAATAAATGTTGTAGACCCGAGTCGTCTGTTCTTTCGAATAATCAATTGGTCTACATTTTTAAACATGTATTTTTCCATATATAGACACACCACATGTTTTATTCAAATCAACTATATATGTAGGCTACTGAGCTTGTCTGATAATTTTTTAATCACAGTGCTTAAAGTAAGACAAATTACTAGAGCCAGAGATCAATATAGCCAAACCAGAAGAAAAAAAACCTAAACCCAGATTCACAAACCTTAAGAAGCAATTTCTTCTTAACTATAGACTTAAGAAGTTAAGCAAAATTGCTATTCCTCAAAAAGGTCATTGGAAATGTTCTTGCGCTATGTCTTATTTTTCCAAGATAGCTAAACCCTTGTCTTAAACTCAGGGCAGTGAGAGAAAAATCTCATGAAAGCAATTGAACATGTTTAATTCACAAACTTAATCTGAAAGTTTCAGTATTGATTATTTTAAACCCAAGAACATGTTTTACAACAGTAATCTCAGTAAGAAATATGCTAACATGATTGCCATTACTAGCTAGATAGCTAGTTAAAATGGTTGCCTAGCAACAAACATCTTAAGAAGATTTGTAAGAAGTTATGAGTAGTTCGTAAGAAAATCATTCAATCTTAAGATGTTGTTGAGGAATTGCACTTACATCTTATGAACTTCTTATTTTTTTACGTAAGAAGTGTTTAGTGAATCTGTGCCCTGTTCCCGACCCTCCTCCCCCTCCCACTGCCCGCTGCTGCTGGCCTTCTGCCATTATGCTCCTGAAGTGGCTGGTAATAGGCTACACCAGAGGTCGGCAACCTTTTCTATTTGGTGTGGCAATTTATCGTACCATTTCTACTGATTTGCGTGCCAGTTGTGATTTTCATATGCACATTTTTGTGGAACAGTTTCACTTATAATAAAAGTCCCCATCCTATAAAAAAATAAAACAAAAATAAAAAATAAGCTTCATATATCAAAATCAATGTCATGTGGTTAATCAAAGTTCTAAATTAAAATGATACAAATCTAAAAGTAACTTCTATTGCCATTGCCAATATGTAAATAGCCTACATAACGCCAACAAATCAAAACATTGCAGGTAGAAAATATCCTGATAAAAATAAATATCCTGTAAATCACATTGGCTACGCATGGCCTGTCTGCAAGGAACTTGAAACATTATATCAACTATAAACTTGGTCCTACCCGAAGCTCATCCTAGCAAACTTACAACATAGTATAAAATATTCTGGGCCCTCAGAGTTTCCCGCGCCAGTGAACTCCTGACAGACAGACACAGCTGTAGGCCATTTGCGCAAGGGATAAGAAGTAATCAGGTAGGCTTATTTTATGACGTTTACACCGGATCAGAGCATGACATTTTTTCCCCCTTTCATAATGAGTGATTATCGAAAGGGAGAGAGCTGGAAATATTTTTCAAATAGGCCATGTTGAGGAACTATTGTCATTCTCAATGGATGTAAAAACAGACTTTGTTTACTTGCTGTTTGACGCAAAGAAAAAATTACTTTGAGAAGCTCCACAGTGATGGTGAGTTAAGACAATCAGACATAGTATCAGACCCCCAGATGGGCACATTTATAGGCCTACATTTGCACGCAGGCCAGGTAGCCTAGACCTTTTTTTAATGTGTAATCAGTTGCGTAATCGTAAATGGAATGAAATAAACCAAAACCTGTTTCTCACAAGTGTAGCATAGGTTGTGCGCTCTGCAAACGTGTCCACTCCTACAATGAGAATGATAAGACTAATAATAATAATAATAATAATAATAATATATTGAATGCATTAACAGAAATTACAGTAACCTAACAAACATTGTAGATTAGAAATTATGGGAATTAACAGTAAATGTGGGCCTACTACTGGTGTGCCATCCCCGCGGCCTCCGCAATGGATTAGTCCACTCAGACAGGCGTCTTGTGTGCCATAACAAAAATAACATACATTTGTGACTGCTCAACAAAAAAAAAAAATATTGGCCGACCAACAGCCTATCGACCAAAAAACAATAAATATACCAGTCAACTAAATGTGGTCAGCTCTATGTGGCAGTGTTATTGGCAGGGAGAGTTATGGACTTACAAACACTGTCTGACCATTTGAAAGCTATTTTTTGCTATTCAAACCTATGGATGCCATTTTGTGACAAACACTGAGTGTGTGAATAATAAAAAGGTCACAAATAGAATGCTTTAGTAATCTAGCAATAACATGGTTAGCTTGACAATGAAGAGCATGGATAAGGTTAACCACATAATGCGGAACAAGTATGCCAGACAAGGGCATGTGGGGATATAACAGACTCAGTGGTATTTCCCTGTTGTCATGCTGCCTTAGTGCTCCTGTCGTGTGTTAGAGAGGAGAAAAAAATAAAGGATTACCTCATCCAGGCTCTTCTCCTTGCCCTCGGACATGTCGAAGCCCCACTTGTTCTTTCGTCTGTTCTTCTTCTTCTGCCTCTTCTTCTCCTGCTTCAGCTCCTTGGCCCTCTCCTCCTCAGACAGCTCTTCACACAGCTGCTCCAAACGACTGATGCCTTGCACCTTCTCCACCGCCATCTGGGGAAATGGGTGTTAACAGGTCGTTATAGTAAAAATAATTTGGCTAAATAAAAGGTTATAAAAATGGAATGTTGAAATTCTTCCAATTCTGTCAAATTGGATGTTGATGATTCCTAGACAATCATTTTCAAGCAGATTTAAGTAAAAACTAACTCTGCCACTCAAACATTCACTGTATTCTTGGTAAGCAATTCCAGTGTAGAATTGGCCTTGTGTTTTAGGTTATTGTCCTGCTGAAAAGGTGAACTCATCTCCCAGTGTGATGGAAAGCAGACTGAACCAGGTTTTCCTCTAGGATTTTGCCTGTGCTTAGCTCCATTCCGTTCTATCCTGAAAAACTCCCCAGTCCTTAATGATTACAAGCATACCCATAACATGATGCAGCCACCACTATGCTTGAAAATATGGAGAGTGGTACTCAGTAATGTGTTGTATTGGATTTGCCCCAAACATAACACTTTGTATTCAGGGCAAAAAGTTAGTTGCTTTGCCAGTATTACTTTAGTGTCATGTTTTGTTTCACTCTGTCAATTACGTTAGTATTGTGGAGTAACAACAATGTTGAGCCATCCTCAGTTCTCCTATCACTGTCATTAAATTCTAACTGTTTTAAAATCACCATTGGCCTGTCATTAATAAAGGTTGAAAAAAGTAAGGGGCCTAGACAGCTGCCCTGGGGTTTCCTTCCACTCTGGCAACTGAGTTAGGAAGGACGCCTGTATCTTTGTAGTGACTGGGTGTATTGATACACCATCCAAAGTGTAATTAATAACATTACCGTGCTCAAAGGGGCTATCCAATGTGTGTTATTCTTTTTACACCCATCTACACTGAACAAAGACAAACACAACATGCATCAATTTCAAGGATTTTGTTACAGTTCATAAGGAAATCAGTCAATTGAAATAAACTCATTACGCCCTAAATCTATGGATTTCACTTGACTGGGAATACAGATATGCATCTGTTGATCACAGACACCTTAAAAAAAAAAACTTTAAAAAGGTAGGGGAGTGGATCATTGAACCAGTCAGTATCTGGTGACGACCATTTGCCTCATGCAGTGCGACATGTCCTTCAAATAGTGTTGATTAGGCTGTTGATTGTGGCCTGTAGAATGTTGTCCAATTCCTCTTCAATGGCTGTGCGAAGTTGCTAGATATTGGCAGGAACTGGAACACGCTGTCGTACACATCGATCCAGAGCATCCCAAACATGCTCAATTTTCAGCTTCCAGGAATTGTGTACAGATCCTTGCGACATGGGGGTGTGCATTATCATGCTGAAACATGAGTTGATGGCAGTGGATGAATGGCACGACAATGGGCCTCAGGCGCTCTTCACAGTATTTCTGTGCATTCAAATTGCCTTTCGATAAAATGTAATTGTGTTCGTTGTCCGTAGCTTATGCCTGCCCATACCAAAACCCCACCGCCACCATGGGGCACTCTGTTCACAACGTTGACATCAGCAAACCGATCACCCACACAACGCCATACACGCCATCTGCCCGGTACAATTGAAACTGGGATTCATCCGTGAAGAGTACACTTCTCCAGCGTGCCAGTGGCCATCGAAGGTGAGCATTTGCCCACTGAAGTCGGTTACTATGCCGAACTGCAGTCAGGTCAAGACCCTGGTGAGGATGAGGAGCACGCAGATGAGCTTCCCTGAGATGGTTTCTGACAGTTTGTGCAGAAATTCTTCAGTTGTGCAAACCCACAGTTTCATCAGCTGTCCGGTTGGCTGGTCTCAGACGATCCCACAGGTGAAAAAGCCGGATGTGGAGGTCCTGGGCTGGCGTGGTTACATGTGGTCTGCGGTTGTGAGGCCGGTTGGACATACTGCCAAATTTTCTAAAACGACGTTGGAGGCGGCTGGTAGAGAAATTAACATTCAATTATCTGGCAACAGCTCTGGTGGACATTCCTGCAGTCAGCATGCCAATTGCTTGAGACATCTGTGGCATTGTTTTGTGTGACAAAACTGCACATTTTAGAGTGGCCTTTTATTGTGCCAAGCACAAGGTGCACCTGTGTAATGATCATGCTGTTTAATCAGCTTCTTGATATGCCACACCTGTCAGGTGGATGGGTTAACTTGGCAAAGGAGAAATGCTCACTTACAGGGATGTAAACAAATGTGTTAAAATGTTAAAGAATTAAGCTTTTTGTGCATATGGAAAATGTCTTGGATCTTTTATTTCAGCTCATATGTTGCGTTTATATTTTTGTTCAGTATACCAATAAGTGCCCTTCTTTGCGAGGCATTGGAAAACCTCCCTAGTCTTTGTGGTTGAATCTGTATTTGAAATTCACTGCTTGACTGAGGGACCTTACAGATAATTGCATGTGTGGGGTACAGAGATGAGGTAATCATTCAAAAATCATCTTAAACACTATTGCACACAAAGTGAGTCCATGCAACTTATTATATGACTTGTTAAGCAAAATAGTGTGCAAGGCTGTCCTCAAGGCAAAGGGTGGCTATTTGAAGAATCTCAAATATAAAATATATTGATTTGTTTAACACTTTTTTGGTTACTACATGATTCCATGTGTTATTTCATAGTTTTGATGTCTTCACTATTATTCTACAATGTAAAAAAAATTAAAAATAAAGAAAAACCCTTGAATGAGTAGATGTGTCCAAACTTTTGACTGGTAGTGTACATGAACCAAACGTTAATGATGAATAATGAATAAGCTAAATCATGCAAATATTATTTGTCTGTGTATGCAGGACATAAGAGGACTAACGGGACTGCCCCGGCAGAGCTCCTGACAGATGTGCATTAAGTTTGCTGGAACCTCTCCAGCTGATAATAAATAATTATTCATTTAAGATTGACTTCAGGTGTCCCTGGTGGTAATTTCCACGACAAAAGCTTGGGAGCACCTTAAATGACATTTTGGCCAAAAAGGCAAACTCCGCTCCATAATTCCTTCAATCAGATGGCTCATTCATCACAAAACCCACTGATATAGCCAACTACTTTAATGATTTTTTCATCGGCAAGATTAGCAAACTTAGGCATGACATGCCAGCAAAAAACGCAGACACTACACTTCCAAGTATAACTGACCAAATTATGTTCTTCTGTAGCTCAATTGGTAGAGCATGGCGCTTGTAACGCCAGGGTAGTGGGTTCGATCCCTGGGACCACCCATACGTAAAAATGTATGCACACATGACTGTAAGTCGCTTTGGATAAAAGAGTCTGCGAAATGGTATATTATTTATTATTATTATTTATTATTTATGAAAGACAAGCATTGTAATTTTGAATTCCAAAAAGTCAGTGAGGAAGAGGTGAAAGAATTAGTTGTCTATCAACAATGACAAGCCACCTGGGTCTGACAACTTGGATGGAAAATTACTGAGAATAATAGCAGACGATATTGCCACTCCAATTTGTCATATCTTTAATCTAAAGCCTAGAAGAAAGTGTGTGCCCTCAGGCCTGGAGGGAAGCAAAAGTAATTCCGATACCCCAAAATAGTAAAGCCCCATTCACAGGCTCAAATAGCCAACCAATCAGCCTGTTACCAACCCTTAGTAAACATTTGAAAAAAATGTGTGTTTGACCAGATACAATGCAGTTTTACAGTAAACAAATTGACAGACTTTCAGCACGCTTATAGGGAAGGACATTCAACAAGCACAGCACTTACACAAATGAATGATGATTGGCTGAGAGAAATTGATGATAAAAAGATTGTGAGAGCTCTTTTGTTAGACTTCAGTGCGGCTTTCGACATCATCGATCATAGTGTGCTTCTGGAAAAATGTATGTGTTATGGCTTTACACCGCCTGCTATATTGTGGATACAGAGTTACCTGTCTAACAGAACACAGAGGGTGTTCTTTAATGGAAGCCTCTCCAACATAATCCAGGTAGAATCAGGAATTCCACAGGGCAGCTGTCTAGTCCCCTTACTTTTTTCAACCATTATTAATGCTTTGAGTAAAGCCAGTGTGTATTTGTATGTGAATGACTCAACACTATACACGTCAGTTACTACAGCGAGTGAAATTACTGCAACATTTAACAAAGAGCTGCAGTCAGTTTCAGAGTGGGTGGCAAGAAATAAGTTAGTCCTAAATATTACAAAAACTAAGAGCATTTTATTCGGGACAAATCCTTAACTAAACCTCAACTAAATCTTGTAATGAATAATGTGGAAATTGAGCAAGTTGAGGTGACTCAACTGCTTGGAGTAACCATGGATTGTAAACTCGTGGTCAAAACATGTTGATGCAACAGTAGCTAAGATGGGGAGAAGTCTGTCCAAAAAAAAGCGCTGCTCTGCATTCTTAACAACATTATGAACGAGGCCGGTCCTACAGGCCCTAGTTTTGATGCACCTGGACTACTGTCCAGTCATGTGGTCAGGTGCCACAAAGAGGGACAATTGGCTCAGAACAGGGCAGCACGGCTGGCACTTAAATGTACACAGAGCGATAACATGAATAATATGCATGTCAATCTCTCATGGCTCAAAGTAGAGGAGAGATTGTAATTTTGTATGTATTGACATGCTGAATTTATTTTAGATTTTTTTATTTTACCTTTATTTAACTAGGCAAGTCAGTTAAGAACAAATTCTTATTTACAATGACGGCCTACACCGGCCAAACCCAGACGACGCTGGGCCAATTGTGCGCCGCCCTATGGGACTCCCAATCACGGCCGGTTGTGATACAGCCTGGAATCGAACCAGTGGGTCTGTAGTGACCACTGAGATGCAGTGCCTTAGACTGCTGCGCCACTCGGGAGCCCAATGCACCGAGGTGTCTGTTAAAACTACTATCACACAGCTCGGACACCCATGCATTGCATCCCCCACAAGACATGCCACCAGAGGTATCTTCACAATCCCAAAGTCCAGAACAGACAATGAGAGGCGCACATTACTACATACAGTCGTGGTCAAAAGTTGAGAATGACACAAATACTAATTTTCACAAAGTCTGCTGCCTCAGTTTTGATGATGGCAATTAGCATATACTCCAGAATGTCATGAAGAGTGATCAGATGAATTGCAATTAATTGCAAAGTCCCTCTTTGCCATGAAAATTAACTTCATCCCCCAAAAAACATTTCCACTGCATTTCAGCACTGCCACAAAAGGACCAGCTGACATCATGTCAGTGATTCTCTCGTTAACACAGGTGAGAGTGTTGACGAGGACAAGGCTGGAGATCACTCTGTCATGCTGATTGAGTTAGAATAACAGACTGGAAGCTTTAAAAGGAGGGTGGTGCTTGAACTCATTGTTCTTCCTCTGTTAACCATAGTTACCTGCAAGGAAACATGTGCCGTCATCATTGCTTTGCACAAAAAGGGCTTCACAGGCAAGGATATTGCTGCTAGTAAGATTGCACCTAAATCAACCATTTATCGGATCATCAAGAACTTCAAGGAGAGAGGTTCAATTGTTGTGAAGAAGGCGTCAGGGCGCCCAAGAAAGTCCAGCAAGCGCCAGGACCGTCTCCTAAAGTTGATTCAGCTGCAGGATCGGGGCACCACCAGTGCAGAGCTTGCTCAGGAATGGCAGCAGGCAGGTGTGAGTGCATATGCACGCACAGTGAGGCGAATACTTTTGGAGGATGGCCTGGTGTCAAGAAGGGCAGCAAAGAAGCCACTTCTCTCCAGGAAAAACATCAGGGACAGACTGATATTCTGCAAAAGGTACAGGGATTGGACTGCTGAGGACTGGGGTAAAGTCATTTTCTCTGATGAATCCCCTTTCCGATTGTTTGGGGCATTCGGAAAACACCTTGTCCGGAGAAGACAAGGTGAGCACTACCATCAGTCCTGATTCATGCCAACAGTAAAGCATCCTGAGACCATTCATGTGTGGGGGTTGCTTCTCAGCCAAGGGAGTGGGCTCACTCACATTTTTGCCTGAGAACACAGCCATGAATAAAGAATGCTACCAACACATCCTCTGAGAGCAACTTCTCCCAACCATCCGAGAACAGTTTGGTGACAACCGATGCCTTTTTCAGCATGATGGAGCGCCTTGCCATAAGGCAAAAGTGATAACTAAGTGGCTCGGGGAACAAAACATTGAAATGTTGGGTCCATGGCCAGGAAACTCCCCAGGCCTTAATCCCATTGAGAACTTGTGGTCGATCTTCAAGAGGCGGGTGGACAAACAAAAACCCACAAATTCGAACAAACTCCAAGCATTGATTATACAAGAATGGGCTGCCATCAGTCAGGATGTGGCCCAGAAGTTAATTGACAGCATGCCAGGGCGGATTGCAGAGGTCTTGAAAAAGAAGGGTCAACACTGCAAATATTGACTCTTTGCATAAACTTAATGTAATTGTCAATAAAAGCCTTTGACACTTATGGAATGCTTGTAATTATACTTCAGTATACCATAGTAACATCTGACAAAAATATCTCATAACACTGAAGCAGCGAACTTTGTGAAGACCAATACTTGTGTCATTCTCAAAACTTTTGACCAAGACTGTAGAGCCATGGCTACATGGAACTCTATTCCACATCAGGTAACTGATGCAAGCAGTAGAATCAGATTTAAAAAAACAGATAAAAATAAACCTTATGGAACAGCGGGGCCTGTGAAGAGACACACACACAGGCACACGCATACATATGATAACACACGCACTATACACACGTACACATGGATGTTGTATTGTAGATATGTGGTAGTAGAGTAGTGGCCTGAGGGCACACAATGTGTTGTGAAAAGTTATGAAATGTAATATCTTTAATTGTATATAACTGCCTTAATGTTGCTGGACCCCAGGAAGAGTAGCTGCTTCCTTGGCAGCAGCTAATGGGGATCCTTAATAAATACAAATACATCACTTCCATCAACAAATATGTCTGATACATGTCACTTCAACTTGTTGTTATTATGTCATGCTGGCATTGTCCAACAAACCTCAAAGCTTGTTCGTTGGTGTTCTTTTTTGTATGATGTTGGGTGGAAAGAAATCTATAAAAATGTGATCATAAAGAAACAAAAACAAACCAACCTCAAAGCTTTTGCGTAGAGCGTCGATGCTGAGGTAGAAGAGCATCTGCCAGGTTTGCTCCTCTGCCCTCAGCTTCTGCCAGATTCTGTGCAGACGCTCATACAGGTGGATGCCCAGGCAGGTCAACACTTCCTCTTGTGCAATGTCAATGGTCTTAGCGTGCCGTTCTCTACGTCTAAGAAGAGACGGCAGGAGTTTTGTTGTGAAAATTAGCATTTTACTTCTATGTGGTCTTTAACAAGCAAACAAAAGGTAATGGAAAAACTATAACTAAGCTAGTATATCAGAAGGATACCAGATGATTTTAGCATACTTCACTACTACTAGGTTACTACATGTGTTTACAGAACATAGATTATAGAACATAGGAAAAAGTAGCAGTTTACATACTCGTAACCTCCGGCGAACTCGGGCTCGGCCCGGCCCAGGAGGTGTGCGATGAAGTCGGTCTCGCAGCAGACGTGGACGTGGTGCTCGTGGGGGCAGCAGCGAAAACCCTCGTACAACGCAGCGCAGTATCCCTTCTCTTTTGTGCAGTCCAGCTCCCCGACCAGGATGTTGTACGCTCTCAGTACCTTGTTCTTGCAGTCAGTACAGAACCTGAAAGGAAGAGAGAAGGGACAAAAGGAAAACATTGTAGTAGTAACATTTCTTTTCACAGTCTAAGTTACATTAAGGTGCAGTTGCATAAGTAACATTACTCTAACTTACCTGTGTTTGCGCAAGTATGTTTCCAGGGTTTCCAGGAGGCAGGCACTGTCGATCAGAACGACCTCATCCCTGCACTCCTGAGACATGAGCTCCCACACATCCATCCAGCTTCCCCTGTGAGCAGCAAACCACCTTGGTTAACATCAAGCACGACACACATCAATCAAACACATTCTTTCGAAAGACAAACATATCAAGTCAGCTTCACAATAGAGGTGACGAACAAGACAGGCATGCCGACTTAACATCGGCAAGTATTCATTGGACAAATCCTGATTAAAATGTGCTTCAACTCAAGAAAGTATTTTACTTTTGATCCTGACAATGAACTCAACTACTTCAGACTGGCGCTAACTAGCTAGCATCCAGAAATGTCACTTAAAAACTCTGAACAAACAAGCTGTGTTTGCTTTGCTGCATACCTGCTGGGGGACTGAAAGGGTCCAAAGTAAAACGCGACGTAACATCTGCTGTCTCTCTTCGCTCCTCCGTCTTTGTCTTTCTCTAAACCTAGCCCTTTGTCTGCCTTCCCTTCTCCTCTAAAGATTCATACAGACATCTCAAAGACACTTCAATACTGTACATCATAAATTACTCTTACTACAGCTTCAAATTGCCTAGTCTGGCCCTGGTATGACCAATAGGTGGACATACAGATTACATTTAATTTACCAGAACTGAGAGAACAGGCTTCACAACTTTTTCCTCAAGAACTGTATCGTCATACACGATATTGCAAATAAGTCCAATACAGCAGTTACAGTGCATTCGAAAAGTATTCAGACACCTTAACTTTTTTCACATTGTTAAGTTACAGCCTTATTCTAAAATGTATTAAATAGTTTTCCCTCATTAATCTACACACAATACCCCATAATGACAAAGCAAAAAAAGGTTTTTTAGAATTTATCATTTATAAAAAAATTCAAACTGAAATATTACATTTACATAAGAATTCAGACCCTTTACTCAGTACTTTGTTGAAGCACCTTTGGCAGCGATTACAGCTACAAGCGTGGACACCTGTATTTGGGGAGTTTATCACATTCTTCTCTGCAGATCCTCACAAGCTCTGTGTCAGCATTTTCAGGTTTCTCCAGAGATGTTCGATCGGGTTCAAGTCCGGGCTCTGGCTGGGCCACTCAAGGACATTGAGATTTGTCCCGAAGCCACTCCTGCATTGTCTTGGCTGTGTGCTTAGGGTCGTTGCACTGTTGGAAGGTGAACCTTCGCCCCAGTCTGAGGTCCTGAGCGCTCTGGAGCAGGTTTTCGTCAAGGATCTCGCTGTACTTTGCTCCGTTCATCTTTCCCTCGATCCTGACTAGTCTCCCTGCCACTGAAAAACATCCCCACAGCATGACGCTGCCACCACCATGCTTCACCGTAGGGATGGTGCCAGGTTTCCTCCAGACGATGACGCTTGGCATTCAGGCCAAAGAGTTCAATCTCGGTTTCATCAGACCAGAGAATCTTGTTTCTCATGGTCTGAGAGTCTTTAGGTGCCTTTTGGCAAACTCCTAGCGGGCTGTCATGTGCCTTTTACTGAGGAGTGGCTTCCGTCTGGCCACTCTACCATAAAGGCCTGATTGGTGGAGTGCTGCAGAGATGGTTGTCCTTCTGGAAGGTTCTCCCATCTCACAGAAGAACTCTGGAGCTCTGTCAGAGTGACCATTGTGTTCTTGGTCACCTCCCTGAACCACCTAGGCCCTTCTCCCACGATTGCTCAGTTTGGCCAGCTCCAGGAAGAGCCTAGGTGGTTCCAAACTTCTTCCATTTAAGAATGATGGAGGCCACTGTGTTCTTGGGGATCTTCAATGCTGCAGACATTTTTTGGTACCCTTCTCCAGATCTGTGCCTCGACACAATCCTGTCTCGGAGCTCTACGGACAATACCTCCGACCTCATGGCTTGGTTTTTGCTCTGACATGCATTTTCAACTGTGGGACCTTATATAGACAGGTGTGTGCCTTTCCAAATCATGTCCAATCAATACAATACAAGACTCCAATCAAGTTGAAGAAACATCTCAAGGATGATCAATGGAAACAGGATGCATCGGAGCTCAATTTCGAGTCTCATAGCAAAGGGTCTGAATACTTATGTAAATAAGGTATTTCTGTTTTTATTTTATTTTTTATAAATTTGCAAAAATGTCTACAAATCTGTTTTTGCTTTTATCATTATGGGTTATTGTGTGTAGATTGATGAGGATTTTTATTTATTTAATCCATTTCAGAATAAGGCTGTAACGTAACAAAATGTGGAAAAAGTCAAGAGGTCTGAATACTTTCAGAATGCACTGTAGATAGATGATAAATAGTATATGTTAATGTGACTCACCCCAGTGGCTTAGGTTTGTGTGTGTCTAAGGAGTGCAACTGGCAGCGTTTATTCTTTTTGCTTTTTGGAATGGCATCGATCATGTCATTCAACTTTGACCTACAAAAAAAAAAACAAAAAAACATTTTCCTTTCTGGCACATTTACTAATACTGTAGTGTTGTACAGTATACCGAAACATCTGTACTTTCTTTCGATACAAGAATCTGAAAAAGGGTTCGGTACTCAAATTGTTGTTACTTTCGGTACTTCTGTCAAGCGTGTCTCATGTCGGCTACTGATTGAGAGTCCGTCTATCAGCGCAGCCAATGTCCCCTTACGAGTGCGAGAGCACCGTGCCTGCTCCATTTACACATTGCTAGCTCTAGCCTGTCCTGAGGTATCATTGCACTCACTATGAGTCTGGGCTGCATCACCACTTATGCTGCAAAGACGTTCACATACTTGAATAATGCAAAACGCCTCAAGTCTTCCCCCAGTCATGCCTCAAACTGAGTGTGTGAATGATGTCATTGTTCTTAACCTCTTAAGGATCGGAACCTTTTTTTTTTTTTTTGTGCCTAAAATGACATACCCAAATCTAACTGCCTGTAGCTCAGACCTGAAGCAAGGATATGCATATTATTGATACCATTTGGAAGGAAACACTTTGAAGTTTGTGGAAATGTGAAATTAATGTAGGAGAATATAACACATTAAATCTGGTAGAAGATAATACAAACAAAAAAACATGCGTTTTCTATTTTTTTGTTTGTTCCATCATATTTGAAATGCAAGAGAAAAGGCCACAATATAATATTGCAGTTTAGGCGCAATTTAGGTTTCAGATTGATCCAGTGAAGCATTGCAATACTGGACTATTTTGTATCAAGTCTGCCCAAATGTGCCGAATTGGTCAACTGATACATTTTCAAGTACATAACTACAGAGAACATACAAAAATGATATTGTAATACAAAATGTAAGTTTACACACGCCCAGGAATGTCACACATGACGGATTATTAGCTTATACACTAACTTTGACACATCTCGATGGCCGGGTGGGTGTGGTGCCAGAGACAGCAAGGGTTCAAACTGTAGAACCCAGTTCCTACATTTGAATATAAAAATTGATTTTATCAAACAAAACTATGCTACAATTTATCTCTGGGACCCTCAGGATAACAAATCAGACCAAGATTACTGAATGTAGGTACATTATTTACCTTCAGAGGTGAATGTATCAAACCAGTTGCCGTGATACGCTTTTTATTGTGCACTCCCCTTAAACAATAGCATGGTATTCTTTCACTGTAAAAGCTACTGTAAATTGGACAGTGCAGTTAGATTAACAAGAATTTAAGCTTTCTGCCCATATACAGTGGCTTGCGAAAATATTCACCCCCCCCCCCTGGCATTTTTCCAATTTTGTTGCCTTACAACCTGGAATTAAAAAATTGATTTTTGGAGGGTTTGTATCATTTGATTTACACAACATGCCTACCAATTTGAAGATGCAAAATATTTTTTTTTGTGAAACAAACAACAAATAAGACAAAACAACAGAACTTGAGCATGCATAACTATTCACCCTCCAAAAGTCAATACTTTGTAGAGCCACCTTTTGCAGCAATTACAGCTGCAAGTCTCTTGGGGTATGACTCTATAAGTTTGGCACATCTAGCCACTGGGATTTTTGCCCATTCTTCAAGGCAAAACTGCTCCAGTTCCTTCAAGTTGGTTGGGTTCCGCTGGTGTACAGCAATCTTTAAGTCATACCCCAGATTCTCAATTGGATTTACTAGGCCATTCCAAGACATTTAAAATGTTTCCCCTTAAACCACTCGAGTGTTGCTTTAGCAGTATGCTTAGGGTCATTGTCCTGATGGAAGACTGAAACAGGTTTCCCTCAAGAATTTCCCTGTATTTAGCGCCATCCATCATTCCTTCCATTCTGACAAGTTTCCCAATCCCTGCCGATGAAAAACATCCCACAGCATGATGCTGCCACCACCATGCTTCACTGTGGGAATGGTGTTCTCGGGGTGATGAGAGGTGTTGGGTTTGCGCCAGACATAGCGTTTTGCTTGATGGCTAAAAAGCTCAATTTTAGTCTCATCTGACCAGAGTACCTCCATATGTTTGGGGAGTCTCCCACATGCCTTTTGGCGAACACCAAACGTGTTTGCTTATTTTTTTCTTTAAGCAATGGCTTTTTTCTGGCCACTCTTCTGTAAAGTCCAGCTCTGTGGAGTGTACGGCTTAAAGTGGTCCTATGGACAGATACTCCAATCTCTGCTGTGGAGCTTTGCAGCTCCTTCAGGGTTATCTTTGGTCTCTTTGTTGCCTCTCTGATTAATGCCCTCCTTGCCTGATACGTGAGTTTTGGTGGGCGGCCCTCTTGGCAGGTTTGTTGTCGTGCGATATTCTTTCAATTTTTTAATAATGGATTTAAATGGTTCTCCGTGGGATGTTCAACGTTTTGGATATTTTTTTATAACCCAACCTTGATCTGTACTTCTCCACAACTTTGTCCCTGACCTGTTTGGAGAGCTCCTTGGTCTTCAAGGTGCTGCTTGCTTGGTGGTGCCCCTTGCTTAGTGGTGTTGCAGACTCTGGGCCCTTTCAGAACAGGTGTATATATTCTGAGATCATGTGACAGATCATGTGACAGATTGCACACAGGTGTACTTTAACTAATTATGTGACTTTAAATGCCATTTAGCAGACGCTTTTATCCAAAGCGACTTACATTCATGTGCGCATACATTTTTACGTATGGGTGGTCCCGGGGATCGAACCCACTACACTGGCGTTACAAGCGCCATGCTCTACCAATTGAGCTACAGAGTACCACAGAGGACTTCTGAAGGTAATTGGTTGCACTAGATCTTATTTAGGGGCTTCATAGCAAAGGGGGTGAATACATATGCACGCACCACTTTTCCGTTATTTACTGTTTAGAATTTTTTGAAACAAGTTATTTTTTTTCATTTCACTTCACCAATTGACTATTTTGTGTATGTCCATTACATGAAATCCAAATAAAAATCCATTTAAATTACAGGTTGTAATGCAACAAAATAGGAAAAACGCCAAGGGGGATGAATACTTTTCCAAGGCACTGTAAGACATGTCTATGTCCTGGAAAGTTTGCTGTTACTTACAACAGTCATGCTAATCACATTAGTGCACGTTAGCTCAACCGTCCCGTATACGGGACACAGATCCCGTAGAGGTTAGAAGAGACAGCGCACACTTTTATCAAAGAAGAGACTGCTTCTTCTATGCAAATGTTGACCAGTACAATAAAATAAGTCACAAATGGAAGGGAAACACATCTGTAGCCCCTTGAAATCAGCCAAAACAAGCTCAACAACTCAATACATGCACACACGCCTATTGAATATGCATTCACCTGTATTGTAAATAGGCCTTTGCTACATCTTGATTTACCCAGTTCATCAATACACTAGAGATTTACAGTGCATTTGGAAAGTATTCAGACACCTTCACTTTTTCCACATTTTGTTATGTTACAGCCTTATTCTAAAATTATTTAAATTGTTTTTGTCCCTCATTAATCTACACACAATACCCAATAATGACAAAGCAAAAACAGGTTTAGACATTTTTGCAAACTGTATTAAAAATAAAACCTAAATATTACATTTACATAAGTATTCAGACCCTTTACTCAATACTTGGTTGAAGCACCTTTGGCAGCAATTACACCCTCGAGTCTTCTTGGGTATGACGCTACAAGCTTGGCACACCTGTATTTGGGGAGTTTCTCCCATTCTTCTCTGCAGATCCTCTCAAGCTCTGTCAGGTTGGATGGGGAGCGTCGCTGCACAGCTATTTTCAGGTCTCTCCAGAGATGTTCGATCGGGTTCAAGTCTGGGCTCTGGATGGGCCACTCAAGGACATTCAGAGACTTGTCCCGAAGCCACTCCTACGTTGTCTTGGCTGTGTGCTTAGGGTTGTTGTCCTGTTGGAAGGTGAACCTTCGTCCCAGTCTGAGGTCCTGAGTGCTCTGGAGCAGGTTTTCATCAAGGATCTTTCTGTACTTTGCTCCATTCATCTTTCCCTCGATCCTAACTAGACTCCCAGTCCCTGCCGCTGAAAAACATCCCCACAGCATGATGGTGCCACCACCATGCTTCACCGTAGGGATGGTGCCAGGTTTCCTCCAGACGATGACGCTTGGCATTCAGGCCAAAGAGTTCAATCTTGGTTTCATCAGACCAGATAATCTTGTTTCTCATGGTCTGAGAGTCCTTTAGGTGCCTTTTGGCAAACTCCAAGTGGGCTGTCATGTGCCTTTTACTGAGGAGTGCCTTCCGTCTGGCCACTCTACCATAAAGGCCTGATTGGTGGAGTGCAGCACAGATGGTTGTCCTTCTGGAAGGTTCTCCTATCTCCACAGAGGAACTCTGGAGCTCTGTCAAGAGTGACCAAGAACCTGTCAGAGTGACCATCGGGTTCTTGGTCACCTCCCTGACCAAGGCCCTTCTCCCCCGATTGCTCAGTTTGGCCGGGCGGCAAGCTCTAGGAAGAGTCTTGGTGTTTCCAAACTTCTTCCATTTAAGAATAATGGAGGCCACTGTGTTCTTGGGGACCTTCAATGCTGCAGACATTTTGGTACCCTCATGGCTTGGTTTTTGCTCTGACATGAACTGTCTACATTGGGACCTTATATAGACAGGTGTGTGCCTTTCCAAATCATGTCCAATCAATTGAATTTACCTCAGGTGGACTCCAATCAAGTTGTAGAAACAGGATGATCAATGGAAACAGGATGCACCTGAGCTCAATTTCAAGTCTCATAGCAAAGGGTCTGAATACTTGTGTAAATAAGGTTTGTCTTTTATTTGTAATACATTTCTAAACATTTCTCAAAACCTGTCCCTAAAACAATTACTTCATTTTAGAATAAGGTTGTAACTAATAAAATGTGGAAAAAGTGAAGGGGTCTGAATACTTTCCGAATGCACTGTACCATTCAAATAAATGATTACCATTATGTTATGTAGTTCGTTTTTTACCAAAGTCAAATTGATTGTATGATGTTATAATTGATTCATTAATGCATACATAAACATAAATAGAAATATGTAATGATATTGAATTCAAAAGATCTGTCTGGATCAAGTGCCATTCTGTGACTTTGGCTAATACGGTTTTCTGTTCCACCTGATAGTTAATTGCGCACACCTGGTGTCCCAGGTCTAAATCAGTCCCTGATTAGAGGGCAACAATGAAGAAAGGCAGTGGAACTGGCTTCGAGGTCCAAAGTTGAGTTTGAGGGGTATAGAGTATTGTGATACTAAACCTGGTATTGAACTCAGAATTCTGCTATCGTGACAACACTAACTAATAGCTTACCATAAAAACATAAGTGGTCAGATTTTATCAGTACTTACATAAGCTAAACAAAAAAACCTTCCAAAACACAAATACAGCTGATTCTTACTGGGACTCGAGAAATGGTATGTAATATTTCTGCTGTCAATCAAGGGCACAGTTTACAGATTGTTTCTAAGGCAAATGGGCCAATAAAGTACGGATAAAAGATGGACCACATCAATAGTATGAGTCCGTCTTATGACAGGTCAATAAAGAATCAATAAAAAGTTAGGCTACACAAGAAGCACTCTGTGACATGCCAATAAAGTATGAATAAAGAAATAGACTCTTGTAGTCTGTCTTGTGACAGTTCTCACTCACCCGTGGAAGTAGAAGAGGTTGTACAGCTTGTTTGCATCGGCCACGCAGGCCTTGGTGACAGAGAGCACGCCGATGGGCTTCAAAGTGAGGGGCTCCAGAGCCGGGTTCCCAGACTCCACCAGCTGGGAGAAGAGGCGCTCCACACTCTGCCTGCAGCCCACGCACGGCACCAGCTGGGACAGGGCGCTGAACATCTCCCTGGACGACACAATCATGGCGTTGTTCAGGTCCTGCTGCTTCAACATGCTGTGATGCTGTGGGGGGCAGAGGCAGGCAGACACACACACACACACACACAACTTGACTTAGTACTGTGTGTAGCTAAGTGTTGAAGAAATAAAGGCATGATCCTTGAGCAAAGTATGACAACCAGTCTTAAAGTCAATATCATCAAGCCATGTATGAAAAGGCGCACACTAGGGATGCACATTTCGGTCAATTTTGCTGCCGACTAACCGACCCTCATTAACCTGTCAACAAACGGTTAGGGGGTTATAATCCACCCCCAGAAATAAAAATCATGAAACTCCTATCAATTCAATGAAAGCCTATGTTCTATCAGTGGGTAAAATAAACTTCTAAGTGGTCCGTCTGAAATCAGGAAATCGTGTAGGAACGCGTCATAGCTACATGGTTCCCGTCACTGGGCCTCAACATTATACATCGGGTTAGGGCCAAGTAGGGCCTGTTTTTTCATCAATAACTAGGGTACGGTCAGGTCTCGGGTATCACTTACATTTTGAAGCTGAGCCATTTGCTCGTGCACTGCTACGCAGTACAGTCATATCTGACTAAGATCATAACATGGGGTCAGAAGTGCTTCAAACTCGTCAAATATAAGGAGAGATTATTTCACAGAAAATAATAATGTGCCTTAAGTTGTCTGAGTTTAGAGTGATGAAAAAAGCTAACTGCTCTCATGTCTCTACATTGAGCAGAGCGACCCAAGCGGAGCGTTGCTATGGTTACTCACAGAGCAGCCATGAGCAGAGAACATTTTTTATTAATTTTTTCACCTTTATTTAACCAGGTAGGCCAGTTGAGAACAAGTTCTCATTTACAACTGCGACATGGCCAAGATAAAGCAAAGCAGTGCGATAAAAACACCAACACAGAGTTACATATGGTATAAACAAAAACGTACAGTCAATAACACAATAGAAAAATATAAAATCTATATACAGTGTGTGCAAATGTAGTAAGTTATGGAGGTAAGGCAATAAATAGGCCATAGTGCAAAATAATTACAATTTAGTATTAACACTGGAGTGATAGATGTGCAGAAGATGATGTGCAAATAGAGATACTGGGGATCAAATGAGCAAAATAAATAACAATATGGGGATGAGGTAGTTGGGTGGGCTAATTACAGATGGGCTGTGTACAGGTGCAGTGATCGGTAAGCTGCTCTGACAACTGATGCTTAAAGTTAGTGAGGGAGATAAGTGTCTCCAGATTCAGAGATTTTTGCAGTTCGTTCCAGTCATTGGAATAGCAAGTGTTTTTCGGTTTTCAAATAAATGTATAAAATGTGGTTAATGGCCCTGGCAGATTGGGCACCTCTTGAAGGCCAAATGGCCTTGCCCCTAAAATCACGAAATCCCAGTCCTGGAGTGCAGGAGGCCCTTCATGTTTTTGATTTAACCGACCTGGAAGACCAGGTGTGTTGAATTTAGGCAATCACTGAACTGATCAATTAACAAAGTAGCTCAGTGTGGTGCCTAGTAGGGACAAAATCTTGTAGTACCTGCGGCACTCCAGGAACAGGGTTGCCTAACCCTGCAATAGATGGTATGGGCATACTTGTCTAGAACACATCCATCCGTGTATATCGTCATGACAAAGTATATATTTTGCTTAGATGGGCTCAATCTAAACAGTGTACCAAATTATTCAACACAGTTTCTCCTTCAAGTACCATCTCGCAATGAGCTCTGTGTGTCTGTGGGAAAGGGCCGTTGTTGCCATAGCAACGTACTCTGCACTGGCTCTGGGCAGAGGCGAACTGCAAATTGAACTCGGTGAGACTCCTAAATTGTTAGTGCAGTTTGTTTAGCCGATTTTACTACATATGCAGTAAGTAGCACTAGCACCTTCACATGTAGGTTTTATTGTATGTAGTTACATTTGCTAGCTAGCTACCTAGCAGCCAGCACAGAGAGAGCATTGCATTGTGGGTTTTGTAGTCGACTTGAGCTGCAAAACCCACAAACACTTAATAATAATAATAAAATTATTATTATTATTATTATTATTATTATTATTATTATTATTATTATTATTATTATTATTATTAGCCATTTAGCAGACGCTTTTATCCAAAGCGACTTACAGTCATATGTGCATACATTTTTACGTATGGGTGGTCCCGGGGATCGAACCCACTACCCTGGCGTTACGAGCGCCATGCTCTACCAATTGAGCTACAGAGGACCACCCAACCCTCTAATCATAGGAATTAGAGGGTTGGGTGGATTATCCATGTAATTTTAGTCTCCAAACAGTAAAATTACCAACAGAAAATATTATGCATGCATTCAAGGAATGGCAATTTTTCATTAACAGCTTAATTAAAACATGCAACAATAGCAAGTCTTACAGTCAAAGGGCTATAGCCTATTATTGAACATGCAACTGCTGTAATGGAGAAGCTAATAAAACTTATTTTTCAAACATTTGCCAAAATGCAATTCGTAGGAAATCACAGTTCTAAAACAGTGCACCTAATGCGAGCAGTTCCATATGTGACAGATTAACATCTCTGTTAGAAACGTAGGTTTCTAACAATTATACTGCCTAAAGCTCATATTGCAAAGTGGTGGGTGACATGCTGATAGCCTGCCTACTGTTGACTATAGCCTATGCACTGGTGAATGGGAGGCGCGCCTTAATTACGAGTTAAGATTGTGAGATAAAACAGCTCTTTTTAATCATCAACAGTTTAAAAACATCAACAGTTTAAAAACGCGATTGCATTTAGAATAGTTATTTGTTGTGCAATGACTAGGCTTATAAAAGCATGTTTCACTCCAGTACCAGCTCTCATGCGGTCTGACAGGTGCTCTCATGCGGTCTGACAGGTGATAGGCCATTCTGCTCCTCAAACTAGGCTCTGTATGCTGCGAGTGTGTGATAATTAAGTAGTGCTGAGCGATTAGTGCTTTTATAGGTCGGTTCGGTTTCTGTTAAATTATTAAAAAATTAATCACGGTTTTCGGTTTCAATTATTTAGGTTGAATGTTGTAACAGAATAAAACAATTAATAAAAGTCCCATGATGGTAGTGACTGCTCATTACTGCTTATCACATTAACCATTTATTGACATTTCTTTACTTTAATAAAATACTTCAGTTGTTCAAATTACATTTGTTTTATTTTAATGACCATTATTTAATTCCAAGTAATCTCATCTCTATAGAGCTGCTGCATATGCTGTCTAACAAAATTACTATTTTGTAGTTTTTCAAAGTAAATAAGGCATACTTTTATGACTGCTGATTTCCAACTATCGATCACTTAGATCATGTATTTTCAGATCCCCTCACGATCGCGCATTCTTCTGCCTCTTCCGTAGACTGGACAAGTAGACGCGCAATGGATTATGGTCATTCTAGTTAATAACCACGTTTTAAGCACTAAACTATGTAGAATATTGGCCTGTTGGAAACTACAACTCCCTACTACATCACACAGTTCAGGCTGGACCTGATTTATCTCTAGAGAAACTGTGCAATGTGTGCACAGAAAAAACCCTGAACAAAATGGAATTCAAATAATTGAACTGACATGAGTCAATTAGTTGTTTAAAAACCGAAAAATAACAAATGTCGGTTAATAAAATTTAAATTTACATCATTTAGCAGACGCTCTTATCCAGAGCGATTTACAGTGAGTGAGTGCATACATTTTTTAAATTTATTTTTTCATACTGGAATCGAACCCACAACCCTGGCGTTGCAAAATGCCATGCTCTACCAACTGAGCTACATCCCTGCCGGCCATTCCCTCCCCTACCCTGGACGACGCTGGGCCAATTGTGCGCTGCCCCATGGGTCTCCAGGTCGCGGCCAGCTACAACAGAGCCTGGATTTGAACCAGGATCTCTAGTGGCACAGCTAGCACTGTGATGCAGTGCCTTAGACCACTGCGCCACTCGGGAGAGATACATAAGATACATGACGACTCACGAAGATACACACACGGCAATTTAATTCCATTAAAGTATGCAAATTAACCTATAGACCGATAAGAATGACCGGTCAAATGTGTTTTCAGTGGCTAATGACTAACGGTTAACCGTTAACGTCCCTAGTACACACAAATCTTCTTCCTTCCTTATGACTAGGATGTTGATTCATTCTATTCGATCACATTCACAGCAACAGTGTCACAGTACTCACTCACCTCAACAAACTGCTTCATCTGAGAGCTGTTGATCTGGTGACTGTCAAGGTTCATGACACTGTCAGTAAACTCCATCACCATCTGTAATAACAAGGGGACATATATTGAAAATGTCATCAGCACAAGTATTCCACAACACAACTGGGAAATGCTACACTATGTAAAGTATAGCAAGTAAATCTGTTCACTAAATGAATGCTCTTCCAACATTAACCTGTCCATACAGTATCTGCATCGCCAAAATAGGTCCAAGCCCAGTATCTAATATGCTACCACTGCTCAAATGATCACCATTTAGGCTAGCCACTCAGCTAACAAGCATCCGCATACAGTTTGCGGTCATGGTTAGCTTGCCGGTTAGTTAACTGGTCAGTTAGGCTAGCCTAACAGCTCAGAACTGTAATGCCAAAATGCATTGCTTAACCTACATCAGGGTGTCATTGGAAATACGTGACAGCTAGAGCTAGCTCTAACCAACATACCTAGCTATCAAACATTGCTGACTAGAAAGCCGGTTGGTGGATCCGGCTAGCTAGTTTGCTGGCGCTAGTTCTTGGAAAGGCCTAGATAGTCCTCTCGGTCACTCGCTCGCAACCGAGTTTCATGGTCGACATAGGTAGCTAGCTACTTTCAGAAGAGTGCCTGATTGTAAAGCCTTAAAACATCTAGAGCACCATATGGGAGACGGACACACTGCACTTTCTTACCGTGAGAGTGTCATCGATGTACAGGGGAATCTGTCTTGCGAGGAAAGGAAAGTCTTCTTCCCCGTCCCTGCAAACCGCAACCAAGCGCGCCATGTCTTCCAGCTCCTGTCGTGGTGGTAGCACGTATTGCCTGTATACAGTTAGGACAGATTGAGAAAATCCAATAGTCACATTTTCACCAATAGCTAGGGCTAATGTACCCGTTATAACATGCAGGGAATTATAATTTGGAAAAATACATTGAATGTAACTGTTACTGTAATATGAAATGATCCCAACAATTTTAAACGCTTCGGTGGATGATACATGCCATTGTAGCAGTTCTCTATGACCTATAAGTCATGGATAGGTCATTGACCTAGCTGGCTCGTGGGCTGCTGCTAGTTACCGTTAGCTACTAACTAGCTAGTTACCTAGAGAAAGTGGATGCTAATAAATACTGGGCTGGGGCGTATTTATTACTCGAAAAAGTTGCAGCCATTCTGTTTCGTAACAGAAGCTAGAGTTTCTATTGGACATATTCATGTAGGTCCCTCCCTGTTTGCTGAACCTGTCCAATATAAATGTTCGTTTTCTTTTGCAACTGTTTGGCGTAATGATTACACCCCAGGCTAGTTAGCATAGTGCTAAAATTAGCGAGCAGTCAGTGAGTATACTTCATGATACTTCAGTTAGCTAGGTTTTAAACTGAGGTCGGAGCAATCTTTAAGAAAATACAAAAACTACAATAAGAACGTGTTAGATTACGGCACAGTTTACATTTACTGTGGTTAACTTTCTTATTTGGTTAACATGCTAGCTAGCAGCTACCTCCACTGGGTCTGAAGAAATTCGAATCAAATTGAAGCCTCAGAACGACACAGATTAGCTAACTCGCTAACGTGAACTCTTCGCCGAAAAAGTAGCTATGTCAACCGATCTGTAAATTACTGATCTTGCTTCATGTTCTTGACAACTGACACTTCTTTCCGAACTTACAAATGTATAATGACATTATTTTGTAAACACAAGCAATCACCGTACATCTCTTACCCACTTTTGAATGTTGCCTTTTTATACAAAAACAAACAAGCGCGGCGGCGGAATCTTCATGTGTAACCTTTGCCCTCAAGACTTAGCAACAAAAATAAATTCCAGCAGTACACTCGCGATGACATTCGAGCGCTAGGGGTTGCCAGAGCACAGATTGAACAATGAGACAGATATTTCACTGATAAATGTGCATCCGCTTGGCGTTTCCAAATATGGTAGTGAGAGGAAGCCCAGTGGCCTGTGTCATAGTTCCCAATCGTTCTGATTGTGTAGTGATTGTGACGTCATGTTGTAAAATTTCTCACACCGTGAATATGTTCCCAGTTCAATAATTAATTGCACGAGCCCGGACCTCACTGGAAAGGGTAGATGTCATACAGGGGAAAGGACTCAGAATATGTAGTGGGGCGTTTCGGACGTCCCCAGTAGCTGCATTACAGGTGGAGATGGGGGATATGCCATTGCAGATTAGGAGACAGCAGCTGGCAATTAATTATTGGGTTAACCTATAAGGACATGGGGTGTCTCATCCTGCGAAAGGGATTTTACAGGCATGCTGGGAACATGAGCGAAGACAGAACACAAGCTTTGGGTGGGTGGGTAAAACCCAGGCGAAGGAGATGGGACTGTATGGAAGGGAGTTTAGTCCAACAGTAGTTATTCCTGTAAATCCACCATGGCTACTCCCGCCTCCAGTAGTTGATCTAGAAGTGTTGGAGAGACTACAGAAAGATAGGGAGGGTGTTGATCCAGCAGATTTCTTTAAGAGACGTCTGGAAACTGTGTATCAGGAGTTTTTTATCAGAGAAGGCATTTATTTCAAGTACAGAGGAAAGTCGGGGAGGGGAGGACGGCAGGAAGGGACAGAAGAGAGGAGGCTATTTTTACAAGATTAAGGGTGGGACACAGCCAGTTGAATAAGTCATTAAATGTGATAGGAAAGCATCCATCAGGAAAGTGTGATTATTGTCAGGAAATAGAGACCGTGGAGCATGAATTGCTACAGTGTGGGCAGTATCAGAGGGAAAGAGAGAGGATGAAATCTAGTATGAGGTAGAAGGGGATATAGGAAATTAGTTTAAATAGTGTATTGAGTATATCATCATTAGATATAGTCTCAAATATTTTGTTATCTTTTTTAAGAGAAACAGGGTTGGCAGGTAGGATTTAGTTTCTCCCTGTCTCTGGCCCACATTCCAGTACAGTAGGTGGCGGTAATGCACCATAACGTTGGATGCCAACCGCCAATAAACCCCACTGAAGAAGAAGAAGAAGAAGAAGAATTAATTGCATGCCTGGCTGAGCTCGTGCGGATGTCTCTCTCTCTCTCCCCTCGCTCGACGTCGAAAAACTGTGGGCGCGTGCATTTGCTACATCTGCCAATCCAGACTCGCGTGTCAAAGTGCCACAGAGAATGGATTAAACTATTTACCCATTTAATAACCAGACCTTCATACAAACTTGCTATGAAAAGGGATCTTCTTTGGTAGGAGGACACAGACAGGAAGGTTGAGTTTGGAGAAGGTTAGAGGAGTAGGTGGGATAAATCGTTGAAAAACAAACAACCTTTACTCGGTGTGGGGGTGGTTCGGCACGGCTGTGCTGTGAATGGGTCAGAGATGGTAGGAGATAGTGATGGAGAAGAAAGTGAAGCAAGTATGGAACATAGCGGTACAAATAAAGGAGGGAGTAAGAAAGAGAAAAAGAAAGCGGGAGAGAAAGGGAGTAGGGGTATGAAGGGGAGCGAGAGGTCTATGGAGGCAGAAAAGGACGTTTGAGGAGAGCAACCTAGCTTCCAACGCTAGCGGAAGTTCGGAGGTAGAAAGTGCAGAGGAAGGGCAAGATAAGACGTGAGGGGAACATAGAGGTGAGGAGGAGCATAAAGTGATTCTTAAGTTTAGGGAGGAAGGGGGAGTTGGGGCGATGAGTCCGATAAGGTTGACGGCAGTGATAAAAGAGTTGATTGGGGAAGTTGTCAATGCTAAAGTGTTAAGAGATGGGAGCTTGTTGGTGTTCTGTAAGGACATGGCGCAAAGGGAAAAAGCTCTCAGAGTGAAGCAAATAGGGAAGTGTAAGGTGGAGTCGAGATTGATGTAAGGTGTAAGGTGGAGTCGAAATTGATAGAAAATAGACCTCGCTCTGGTATCTAGTGCGATGGCAGGAATATGTGAGTGGGAGGTATGGGAGTAGTCGACAGTAGGGATTGATCATTACCCCATAGTATGTACAGTAGGCCGGAGGGAGGAGGAGGTGTCAGTGGATGGAGTAGGCAGGTGGATGTTTGGAAGGGCAAAGTGGGATCAGTTTCAGAAGCTGAGTGAGCAGGTGATGGCTCGGGTGGATATGAGAGGGGATGTGGATAGTATGAATAACTGGGTGAGAACAGCGTTAGTGAGGGCAGCTACTGAGGCTATACTTAAGAGTTCAGGGAGGAGGAGGAAAGCAGTCCCATGGTGGACAGAGGAATGTGGGGCAATGGTGAGGAATAGGAACAGGGCATTTAGAGTACTGAAAAGGACGCATAACTTCCAACATCTGATTCAGTATAAGCAGGCCCAGGCCATGGTGAGGACAACTATCCGTCAGGCAAAGAGGTCATGTTGGCAACGGTTCTGTGACACCATTGGAAGGGCGACACCTGTGGGATAAGTGTGGTGGATGAGTAAGAGGATGAGTGGGGTCAGAAGAGAGTGGGATTATCCAGTGTTGACGAGTGGGGAGGATATGGCAGTAACAGATGAGGAGAAGGCAGAGATGATGGCCAAAGCATTTGTCCAAGTGCATAGCTCCGCAAATCTGTCAGAGGAGGGGCAGAGGGGGAGAGAGAACACGAGAGAGGAGCATCCTGGAGTGCTGGATAGGAGGGAGGATGTAAATTATGCGTTGAATGCACCATTTACCATGGCAGAGGTGAAAAGAGCAATAGGTAAGGCTGGGTTAACTTCACCTGGGAAAGATGAGGTGTGCTATGTTATCTTGGCCCATCTTAGTGATGAGGCACGGGATAAGGTATTGGTGTTGTACAACAGAGTGTGGGAGGAGGGGAAACTACCAGGCAGTTGGAAGGAGGCAGTAGTGGTACCAATCCGGAAGCCCGGGAAGGATCCAACGAGACCAACAAGCTATCAGCCAATAGCTTTAACATCATATGTAAACTCAGCAAAAAAAGAAACGTCCCTTTTTCAGGACCCTGTCTTTCAAAGATAATTTGTAAAAATCCAAATAACTTCACAGATTTTCATTGTAAAGGCTTTAAACACTATTTCCCATGCTTGTTCAATGTACCATAAACCATTAATGAACATGCACTTGTGGAACAGTTGTTAAGACACTAACAGCTTACAGACGGTAGGCAATTAAGGTCACAGTTATGAAAACTTAGGACACTAAAGAGGCCTTTCTACTGACTCTGAAAAACACCAAATGAAAGATGTCCAGGGTCCCTGCTCATCTGCGTGAACATGCTGCAATGAGGCATAAGGACTGCAGATGTGGCCAGGGCAATAAATTGCAATGTCCGTGCTGTGAGACGCCTAAGACAGCGCTACAGGGAGACAGGACGGACAGCTGATCGTCCTCGCAGTGGCAGACCACGTGTAACAACACCTGCACAGGATCGGTACATCCGAACATTACACCTGCGGGACAGGTACAGGATGGCAACAACAACTGCCCGAGTTACACCAGGAATGCACAATCCCTCCGTCAGTGCTCAGACTGTCCGCAATAGGCTGAGAGAGGCTGGACTGATGGCCTGTTGTCAGGCAGGTCCTCACAATTTACATTTACATTTTAGTCATTTAGCAGACGCTCCTATCCAGAGCAACTTACAGTCACCAGACATCCCCGGCAACAACGTCGCCTATGGGCACAAACCCACTGTCGCTGGACCAGACAGTGCTCTTCACTGACGAGTCGCGGTTTTGTCTCACCAGGGGTGATGGTCGGATTTACGTTTATCGTCGAAGGAATGAGCGTTACACCGAGGCCTGTACTCTGGAGCGGGCTCGATTTGGAGGTGGAGGGTCCGTCATGGTCTGGGGCGGTGTGTCACAGCATCATCGGACTGAGCTTGTTGTCATTGCAGGCAATCTCAA